CACACTGCTTCACCACTACACTGCTTCACCACAACTCCACCACTACCTGCTTCACCATACACTGCTTCACCATACATGTTCACCCCCTACACGCTTCACCACTACACTGCTTCACCATACACTGCTTCACCCCTACACTGCTTCCCACTACACGATTCACCATACACCTTTACCCTACACTGCTTTACCCCTAACTGCTTCACCCCTACCTGCTTCACCCTACACGCTTCGCCACTCACTGCTTTTACCACACACTGCTCACCACTACACTGCTTCACCACTAACTGATTCCCACTAATGCTTCACCCCTACATGCTTCCCCCACACTGCTTCCCACTACCTGCTTTACCACTACAAATGTTTCAAACCCCCTACACACACGCTTCACCACTACCTGCTCAATACTACACGCTTCCCCCCACTACACTGCTCACCCCTACACTGCTTTTACCACTACACGCTTCACCCCTCCTGCTTTACCACTACACCTTTACCACTACCTGCTTACCACTACACTGCTTCACCACTACATGCTTCCCACTACAAATGCTCCACCACTCACTGTTCCCACTACATGCTTTTTACCCCTCACTGCTTTACCACTACACTGCTTCACCACTACCTGTTTTAATTTTATTATTTATCATATAAATCTTTTAAATTTCTGCATTTTTTTTTCCCATTTAAAAAATGGCCCTAACCCATTAATTGTGCTAAAACCTTAATTGCTAAAACCCCTTATAATGTGCAAACCCCTTAATTGGGTACCCCTTAATAATGTGCTAACCCATTAATGTGCAACCCATAAAATTGCTAACCCATTTAAGTGCTAACCCCTTAATAAAGTGCAACCCATTAAAGTGCTAACCCATTATTTTAAATTCAACCCATTAAAAATGTGCTAACCCCTTTTTAAAAGCTAACCCCTTTAAAAATATCTAACCCATTTAAAAATGTGCTAACCCATTAATAAAGTCTAACCCCTTAATTGCTAACCCTTAATAATATGCTAACCCATTAATAATGTCTAACCATAAAAATATCTACCCCTTTAATAATTTTCTAACCCATTAAAAATTGCAACCCATTAAAAGTGCTAACCCATTAAGGCTAACCATTTTAAAATGTGCTAACCCATTAATGTGCTAACCCATTAATAATATGCTAACCCCTTAAAAATTCATCCCCAAAAAAAAAATGTTAACCCCTTAATAATGTTAACCCTTTAATAAGTGCAATCCTTTTTAAAGTCTAACCTTAAAAGGCTGACCCATTAATATGTGTTAAAACCCTTTAATAAAGTGCTACCATTTAAAAATGTGCTAACCCAATTTAAAAATGTGCTGACCCTTTTAAAAATATGCTAACCCCTTAATAAATTTCTAACCCCTTAATAAAAGTCTGACCCTTTTTAATAGCTAACCCATTAAAAAAGGGCTAAACCCTTTTAAAAATTGCTGACCCTTAATATTTTGCTAACCCCCTTTAAAATGTGCAACCCTAATAAAAGTCAAACCCCTTAATAATGTCTAAAAAATTAAGTGCTAACCCATTAATAATGTCTAACCCCTTAATAAATGCAAAACCCATTAGAATTGTCTAACCAATTAAAATGTGCTAATCCATTAATAATGGGGCAACCTATAAAAAATGTGTAACCCTTAATAATGTTTAACCCCCTTTTAAAAATGTGCTAACCCATTAATAATTTCTAACCCCTTAATAATGTGCTAACCCATTTTTAAGTGTAACCATTAAAAATGTGCAACCCATTAATAATTGCAAACCCCATTAAAAAAGAAAACCCATTAAAAATGTGCAAACCCATTAATAATTGCTAACCCTTTAAATAATGTCAAACCTTAAATAATGTCTAACCCATTAATAATATGCTCCCTTTTAAATTAATGTGCAAACCCATTAAAAAGTGCTAACCCATTAATAAGTCTAACCCTTTTATAATGTGCTAACCCATTAAAAAAGGGGAAACCTTTTTAAAAATGTGCTCCCCATTAAAAAATTTGCTAACACTTAAATTTGGGGGCTCCCCCTTAAAAATGTGAAAAACCCTTTTAATAATGTGATACCCATTAAAATGTGTTTTTCCCATTAATAATTGCAAAAACCCAAAAATTTTTTTGCTCCCAAAATTTGCTAAGCCTTAATAAACAACCCATTAAAATTTCAAACCCCTTTAAAATATATGCAAAACCCTTTAAAAAATTGCTAACCCTTATAATGTCAAAACCCCTTAATAATTGTAACCCATTAATAATGTCAACCCATTAATATATCTAACCCATTAATAATGGCTAACCCTTTAAATATATGTAACCCATTAATATAGCAAACCCATTAAAATTGCTAACCATTAAAATGTGCTAACCCATTAATATATGCTAACCCATTAATAATGTGCTAACCCATTAATATATGCTAACCCATTAATAATGTGCTAACCCATTAATAATGTGCTAACCCATTAATATTGCTAACCCTTTAAAATAATGTGCTAACCCATTAATATATGCTAACCCATTAATATATGCTAACCCATTAATAATGTGCTAACCCATTAATATATGCTAACCCATTAATAATGTGCTAACCCAATAATAATGTGCTAACCCATTAATAATGTGCTAACCCATTAATAATGTGCTAACCAATTAATGAGCTAACCCATTAATAATGTGCTAACCCTTTAAATTAATGTGCTAACCTTTTAAATAATGTGCTAACCCATTAATAATGTGCTAACCCATTAATAATGTGCTAACCCATTAATAATGTGCTGGCCCATTAATAATGTGCTAACTCATTAATAATATGCTAACCCATTAATAATGTGCTAACCCATTAATAATGTGCTAACCCATTAATAATGTGCTAACCCATTAATAATGTGCTAACCCATTAATAATGTGCTAACCCATTAATAATGTGCTAACCCATTAATAATATGCTAACCCATTAATAATGTGCTAACCCATTAATAATGTGCTAACCCATTAATAATGTGCTAACCCATTAATAATGTGCTAACCCATTAATAATATGCTAACCCATTAATAATGTGCTAACCCATTAATAATGTGCTAACCCATTAATAATGTGCTAACCCATTAATGTGCTAACCCATTAATAATGTGCTAACCTATTAATAATTGCTAACCCTTTAAATTTAATGTGCAAAACACATTAATAGTGTGCTAACCCATTAATAATGTGCTAAACCATTAATAATGTGATAACCCATTAATAATGTGCTAACCCATTAATAATGTGCTAACACATTAATAGTGTGCTAACCCATTAATAATGTGCTAAACCATTAATAATGTGATAACCCATTAATAATGTGCTAATCCATTAATAATGTACTGACCCATTAATAATGTGCTAACCCATTAATAATGTGCTAACCCATTAATAATGTGCTAACCCCCCATTAAAATGTGCTAACCCAATTATAATGTTGCTAACCCATTAATAATGTGCTAACCCATTAATAATATGCTAACCCATTAATAATGTGCTAACCCATTAATAATGTGCTAACCCATTAATAATGTGCTAACTCATTAATAATGTGCTAACCCATTAATAATATGCTAACCCATTAATAATGTGCTAACCCATTAATAATGTGCTAACCCATTAATAATGTGCTAACCCATTTATAATGTGCTAACCCATTAATAATGTGCTAACCTATTAATAATGTGCTAACCCATTAATAATGTGCTAACACATTAATAGTGTGCTAACCCATTAATAATGTGCTAAACCATTAATAATGTGATAACCCATTAATAATGTGCTAATCCATTAATAATGTGCTAACCCATTAATATATGCTAACCCATTAATAATGTGCTAAGCCATTAATATATGCTAACCCATTAATAATTTGCTAACCCATTAATATATGCTAACCCATTAATAATATGCTTACCCATTAATAATGTGCTAACCCATTAATAATGTGCTAACCCATTAATAATGTGCTAACCCATTAATATATGCTAACCCATTAATAATGTGCTAACCCATTAATATATGCTAACCCATTAATATATGCTAACCCTTTAAAAATTTGTGCTAACCCATTAATAATGTGCTAACCCATTAATATATGCTAACCCATTAATAATGTGCTAACCCATTAATATATGCTAACCCATTAATAATGTGCTAACCCATTAATAATGTGCTAACCCATTAATATATGCTAACCCATTAATAATGTGCTAACCCATTAATATATGCTAACCCATTAATATATGCTAACCCATTAATAATGTGCTAACCCATTAATATATGCTAACCCATTAATAATGTGCTAACCCATTAATATATGCTAACCCATTAATAATGTGCTAACCCATTAATATATGCTAACCCATTAATAATGTGCTAACCCATTAATATATGCTCACCCATTAATAACGTGCTAATCCTCTTAGCTTCACTCACTGCTACGACATAGGCCTTAATTACGTTAAGTACATATAATTTAATAAAACATTACTTTCTTTCTGTTAGGCTTATTTAAATGCTATTTTCTTTTAGCTATATCAAAAAATAAAATTTCAATTTTCCATGTTGTATTTTTCACGTTGTTATTGTAACTCCTCTGATATTTCCCTTTGTTCTCCAGAAAGACATTTTATCCTAAAAATTCAGACCTTTCCTCCACGTACATGGAGTTACCTGATTACCTCTCCATTCCCAGGTGCTAAATGACACCTATGGGATTAGTGATTTTCCACGTAAATAACAATAATCGTGACACAAATAACCCGCACATAAAAGAGAGAAGCTTACGACGACGTTTCGGTCCGACTTGGACCATTGACAAAGTCACCTTGTCAATGGTCCATGTCGGACCGATACGTCGTCGTAACTTCTCTCTTTTATGTGCGGTTATTTTTTTTAATCGTTCCAGTCAGGGTATTGTGCCTTTTTTGTTATTTACAATAATCGTGACTTTGCAGGTAGTGAGCTGCAGTGCCCAGACTTCTGTCCAGACCATTATGACCCAGTCTGTGGTTCTGACCAAGTTACGTACGACAACGACTGCAGGTTACGTAGTGTTGCTTGTACTAACAGACAACTGAAGAAGGTACATGATGGCCCTTGCAGTGAGTGTTATTATTAACTCAAATCTTCGTTTTTAAGTAGTAACTGATATCTCCTGTTTACTATGGAACAATTTAATTTATGCACCTATGTCTCTCTTGTTTATCCTGCGTAAGAACATAAGAAGAAGGGAAAACTGCAACAGGCCTAGTGACCCTTTCTGGGCAGGTCCATGCCACCCCCCCGGCCTTGAGCAATGACCACCTAGTCAGGTATCATTAATAATGTTATTAAATATAAACATATGTATATTCTTCTGTTCTCAACACACCAGCAGTATCCCACCGAAGCAGGTGACCCGAAAAAGAAAAATGGAATGTTCTCTTTTTAACTTTAGTAATGGGAAGTGGAACAGAATTCTTCCTCAGTAACCCATGAGTCTCTTAAGAGGCGACTAAAATGCCGGGAGCAAGGGGCTAGTAACCCCTTCTCCTGTATACAATATATAAACATTATATATATATATATATATTATATATATATAAAATATATATAATATATATATATATATATATATATAATATATAAATTTATAAAACATACACACACACACACAGGAAGATCGCAGTAAACAGGACTCGAACTGCTATTTAGAAAGGTCAAGATTCCCAGGGAGCGCTCTTATCCACTCGGCCACAAATACCACATAGACTGGGCAGCCTGGGTTTTACAAGCCATATTTCTCTACCAGCCCGGGGACGTCAGTCAGCCTCAACCAGGGTCAAGGATTGCGATCTCTTCCCCGTAGTTCTGACCTCTCAAACGATTTTTATAATGGTGCTTTGAAATAAAAATCGTTTGAGAGGTCAGAACATACAGGAGGAGATCGCAATACCTTGATCCATGCTTGAGGCTGACTGACGTGCCCGGGCTGGTAGAGAAACATGGCTTGTGAACCAGGCTGTCCAGTCTATGTGGTATTTGTGGCCGAATGGATAAGAGCGCTGCCTGAGAATCTTGACCGTTCTCAGTAGTAGTTTCGAATCCTGCTGACTGCAAAAACCCAGTCCTTTAGACTCATGTTGGGGCCCCTGGGTTTTGAGTGTCGTGAGTTTTCGCTCTTCCCACATGGCGGGCTAAAATAACACATGTTCGATCCCCCGGCTAGCCACAGTTTATTATTGATTAAATACCACTTGTTCGTGATTACAGGAGTTGGACAAAATACAGGAACACCCGTTGACTGAACTGTCCAATTTAAAGAATAATCACTATTATTATTATTATATATATATATATATATTTTATATATAATATATATATATATAATATATTTTTATATTATATATATATAAATATATATAATATATATTATATAAATATATATATATATATATATAAAGTCGTGCCGATTGTAAAACTGGTCAATTAGCAAGAACCATTTAAAATAAGTCCTTCTGAAATTTTCTCTTATACGTTTAAAGATATTTTTTTTTTCATTAATGTTTAATGTAAAAAATTATAATCTTGCCCAAAGAATCTTAGAAAACTTACCTAACCTTATTTTAACAAGAACAATTTATTTTAGCCTAACCCAACTAAAAATATGTTAGATTTTTTTACAATAATTTAATACTAAACAAACACAGTGAAATATATTTTTTTCGTTAGGTTCAGAATGATTTTGGGGAAATTATTGCATACACAAATTTTCACTTGTCTATATGGCAATGAGCGTTGCTATTTTAGCCAAATCCCAAGTTTTGCCTATTCGGCACGACATATATATATATATATATTATTGTCGTGCCGAATAAGCAAAACTTGCGATTTTGGCTTAAAAAGCACCGCTCTTCTTTGTTATGAATGTTCAGTGAACCGACATTTGATAAATTAGACACAAAGTGCAAAAATCTTGGTATCTTATTGAGGAAACGTTTCGCCACACAGTGGCTTCATCAGTCCATACAAAGGAGAATCTTGAAGGACTGACCACATCGACTCAAGGTTGAGGGACTGATTACCTCATTCTCCTCCTGTTCTTCAAGTTTCTCCTACGTATGGACTGATGAAGCCACTGTGTGGCGAAACGTTTCCTCAATAAAGATACCCAAGAGTTGCACATGTGTCTAATTTATCAACGCTCTTCTTGCCGAATAGGACAAGCGAGAATTTGTGTATGCAGTAATTTCGCAAAAATCATTCTGAATTTAACGAAAAAACATATTTCGTTTTTATTTCATTATTAAAATTATTGTGAACTTATAAAAAAAATATATAGTTGGATTAAGCTAAATAAAATTGCGCTTGTTATAATAAGGTCAGGTAAGTTTCCTTAGGTTCTTTTGGTATAAAATAATTAATATTTACATTAACGTAACAGAAAAAAAAAATGTATCTTGAAATGTATAAGAGAAAATTTTAGAAAGGACTTATTCAATACTATCCTCCTCAGAATCTATTATTCGGCCTATTTTTGTGTCAAAAGCGAATTTAATCATATCACTTGTAATTCCTTCAAGATCATTAATATAAATTACTAACAACAGCAAGCCTAAAACTGATAATTTGTGGAATGCCACTTGTAACCTATTCCATTAATGCAAATGCAGTTTGCTTTATATTGGTCAACCATGCCTCGGTTTACGTTACAATCTTACCTCCTATACCATGAGCTGCCATTTATATTGGTAAACCATGCCTCGGTTTACGTTACAATCTTACCTTCTATACCATGAGCTGCCATTTATATTGGTCAACCATGCCTCGGTTTACGTTACAATCTTACCTTCTATACCATGAGCTGCCATTTATATTGGTCAACCATGCCTCGGTTTACGTTACAACCTTACCTCCTATACCATGATCTGCCATTTATATTGGTCAACCATGCCTCGGTTTACGTTGCAACCTTACCTCCTATACCATGAGCTGCCATTTATATTGGTCAACCATGCCTCGGTTTACGTTGCAACCTTACCTCCTATACCATGAGCTGCCATTTATATTGGTCAACCATGCCTCGGTTTACGTTGCAACCTTACCTCCTATACCATGAGCTGCCATTTATATTGGTCAAACCATGCCTCGGTTTACGTTGCAACCTTACCTCCTATACCATGAGCTGCCATTTATATTGGTCAACCATGCCTCGGTTTACGTTGCAACCTTACCTCCTATACCATGAGCTGCCATTTTCCTTAAGTCTTTTGTGAGGTTCTCTATTGGAGGCTTGACTAAAATCCAAATTAACATTCTTTATCATTGTCTAATGCTTTAGTAAAGAATGTCAGTAAATTTGTCAGTCTGGAAGTACCTTTTGAGAATGCATGTTGAGATTTATTATTCAAATTATGCTGATTAAGGCGACATCTAATAATATCGGCAATAACTGATTATAATAATTTGATCATTGACATCAGGCTTATTGAACGGTAGCAAAAACTCTCGCTTCACACGGTTAGGGTCCAGGTTCGATTCCCGGTGAAGAGGTGGAAACATTGGACGTGTTTCCTTATACCGGTTGTCTATGTTCACCCATTGCTCCATTGTTGGTGCTAGTGAGGATAGGAATAAGACAGGTAAACATGCACCAACAGGGAATACAGTCACAGAAACCCAAGGCAAACAGAAACCAAGCCTGTGCACATACTATGCACTTGGTATCTGCAGGCATGGGAAATCTGGAAAAACAGATGGGACGTGCAACTATGACCACCCTAGAAAATGCCGTGTCCATATGACAAGAGGAAAATGCAAACTCCCTTCCTGCAAGCTTTTTCACACTGAAATGTGTCCCTCTTCAGTACAGGAAAGACTGTGCTATAACTAAATTGCCAGGCACACCATCTAAAGGGGACAAAAAGATACAAAACATCCAGGCCATGGGAAAACCTGGGTGGCCACAGCCACTCAAGAGGGAGAGGTTTTTTAGTGCCAGGAAGGAAAAAAAAACTGGCAGGAAATGGCAGAAATCGTACACCAAATCCAGTCATTCCTGGAGTGGAACCACAGTCGATGGCCTTCACTCCAAACCAACAGATACAGATACTAATGCCGGAAAAAAAATCCCTCCCCCCAGTACCAACAATACCACCAGTCCGATGACATTCTTCTTTCCAAATATACAGGGTCTAAAGCCAGCAACAACAACGAAACAACAAAATGCCTTTCATCCGTGGACTGCTTGCAGAGGCAAATGAAATGTTCGCGGAGACCAACATGAAGGATCACTTGGACAACGAATATGGATCCCAGGTTACAACCTATACAATGTGACAGAGTGAACAGGCAAAAGGTGGGGGGTTGGCCTGTACATCGCAGAGTCACTTGTTTGCACTGAGCTGCTTAATGCCTCAAATGATGAAGTGGAAGTTTTAGCAGTAAAGATCGAGAACCAAAACCTAGTCATTGTGGTAGTCTACAAGCCCCCGGATGCAACATCCCAGCAATTCCAGGAACAGCTCTTAAAAATTGACCACTGTCTGGAAAACCTTCCAGCTCCTGCCCCCAGCATCTTGCTCCTGGGGGATTTCAACTTAAGGCACCTAAAATGGAGGAATATAGCAAATAATATTGTTGCAGTGATAACACCAGGAGGCAGCTCTGATGAGAACTCACACACACACGAGCTTTTAAATCTCTGCACAAAATTCAATTTAAACCAGCAAATAATAGAGCCTACTAGACTGGAGAATACACTAGACCTCATCTTCACTAACAATGATGATCTGATACGAAATGTCACCATATCAAAAACAATATACTCAGATCACAACATAATTGGAGTTCAGACATGTATGCGCAGAGCCCCAGACCGACATAATGAGATTAGTCACGAGGGAGCATTCACCAAATTCAACTTCAATAACAAAAACATAAAGTGGGACCAAGTAAACCAAGTCCTAACCGATATAAGCTGGGAAGATATACTAAGCAACACAGACCCCAACTTATGCCTAGAACAGATTAATTAACTCGGTGGCACTCGATGTATGCACAAGGCTTATTCCTCTAAGAAAAAGGAGGAGTAGATGTAAATTAGAAAGAGACAGGCGCTCCCTTTACAGGCGACGGAAAAGAATAACAGAGAAGCTAAAAAAGGTCAATACATCTGAAATGCGTAGGGAGTCACTGGTCAGAGAAATAGCAAGCATCGAACTTAAGCTAAAGGAATCTTAAAGGAGTCAGGAATCGCGGGAAGAACTAAAAGCCATAAATGAAATCGAAAGAAACCCAAAGTATTTCTTCTCCTATGCCAAATCAAAGTCGAGAACAACGTCCAGTATTGGGCCCCTACTTAAACAAGATGGGTCCTACACAGATGACAGCAAGGAAATGAGTGAGCTACTCAAGTCCCAATATGACTCAGTTTTTAGCAAGCCGCTAACCAGACTGAGAGTCGAAGATCAAAATGAGTTTTTTAGAGAGCCACAGAATTTGGTTAACACAAGCCTATCTGATGTTATCCTGACGCCAAATGACTTGGAACATGCGATAAATGACATGCCCATACACTCTGCCCCAGGGCCAGACTCATGGAACTCCGTGTTCATCAAGAACTGCAAGAAGCCCCTATCACGAGCTTTTACCGTCCTATGGAGAGGGAGCATGACACGGGGGTCGTCCCACAGTTACTAAAACAACAGACATAGCCCCACTCAACTAAGGGGGCAGTAAAGCAATAGCAAAGAACTACAGACGGATAGCACTAACATCCCATTTCATAAAAGTCTTTGAAATTGTCAAAAGAAGCAAAATCACCACCCATCTAGAAACCCATTAATTACACAACCCAGGGCAACATGAGTTTAGAACAGGTCGCTCCTGTCTGTCTCAACTATTGGATCACTACGACAAGGTCCTAGATGCACTAGAAGACAAAAATAATGCAGATGTAATATATACAGACTTTGCAAAAGCCTTCGACAAGTGTGACCATGGCGTAATAGCGCATGAAATGCGTGCTAAAGGAATAACAGGAAAAGTTGGTCGATGGATCTATAATTTCCTCACTAACAGAACACAGAGAGTAGTAGTCAACAGAGTAAAGTCCGAGGCAGCTACCGTGAAAAGCTCTGTTCCACAAGGCACAGTACTAGCTCCCATCTTGTTCCTCATCCTCATATCTGACATAGACAAGGACATCAGCCACAGCACCGTATCTTCCTTTGCAGATGACACCCGAATCTGCATGACAGTGTCATCCATTGCAGACACTGCAAGGCTCCAGGAGGACATCAACCAAATCTTTCAGTGGGCTGCAGAAAACAATATGAAGTTCAACGATGAGAAATTTCAATTACTCAGACATGGTAAACACGAGGAAATTAAATCTTCATCAGAGTACAAAACAAATTCTGGCCACAAAATAGAGCGAAACGCCAACGTCAAAGACCTGGGAGTGATCATGTCGGAGGATCTCACCTTCAAGGACCATAACATTGTATCAGTCGCATCTGCTAGAAAAATGACAGGATGGATAATGAGAACCTTCAAAACTAGGGATGCCAAGCCCATGATGACACTCTTCAGGTCACTTGTTCTATCTAGGCTGGAATATTGCTGCACACTAACAGCACCTTTCAAGGCAGGTGAAATTGCTGACCTAGAAAATGTAGAGAACCTTCACGGCACGCATAACGGAGATAAAACACCTCAGTTACTGGGAGCGCTTGAAGTTCCTGAACCTGTATTCCCTGGAACGCAGGCGGGAGAGATACATGATTATATACACCTGGAAAATCCTAGAGGGACTAGTACCGAACTTGCACACGAAAATCACTCACTAAGAAAGCAAAAGACTTGGCAGACGATGCAACATCCCCCTAATGAAAAAGCAGGGGTGTCACTAGCACGTTAAGAGACCATACAATAAGTGTCAGGGGCCCGAGACTGTTTCAACTGCCTCCCAGCATAACATAAGGGGGATTACCAACAGACCCCTGGCAGTCTTCAAGCTGGCACTGGACAAGCACCTAAAGTCGGTACCTGACCAGCCGGGCTGTGGCACGTACGTTGGTTTGCGTGCAGCCAGCAGTAACAGCCTGGTTGATCAGGCTCTGATCCACCAGGAGGCCTGGTCACAGACCGGGCCGCGGGGGCGTTGACCCCCGGAACTCTCTCCAGGTAAACTCCAGGTAATCAGTAAAATGGATACCTGGGTGTTAGTGGACTGGTGTGTGTCGCATCCTTGGTGTTAGTGGACTGGTATGGGTCACATCCTGGGTGTTAGTGGACTGGTGTGGGTGGCATCCTGGGTGTTAGTGGACTGGTGTGGGTGGCATCATGGGTGTTAGTGGACTGGTGTGGGTCACATCCTGGGTGTTAGTGGACTGGTGTGGGTCGCATCCTGGGTGTTAGTGGACTGGTGTGGGTGGCATCATGGTGTTAGTGGACTGGTGTGGGTCACATCCTAGGTGTTAGTGGACTGGTGTGGGTCGCATCCTGGGTGTTAGTGGACTGGTGTGGGTCACATCCTGGGTGTTAGTGGACTGGTGTGGGTCGCATCCTGGGTGTTAGTGGACTGGTGTGGGTCGCATCCTGGGTGTTAGTGGACTGGTATGGGTCACATCCTGGGTGTTAGTGGACTGGTGTGGGTCACATCCTGGGTGTTAGTGGACTGGTGTGGGTCACATCCTGGGACAAAACTGACCTAATTTGCGGGAAATGCCAGCATAACAAGCGGCTTTCTGTATAGTAGTATGTCACTGATGTTAGCTATGGTCTGTATACCTTGTACATGTACTTGTATACCTTGTACATGTACTTGTATACCTTGTACAAGTACTGGTGTGCCTTGTACATGTACTGGTATACCTTGTACATGTACTTGTATACCTTGTACAAGTATTGGTATGCCTTGTACATGTACTGGTATACCTTGTACATGTACTTGTATACCTTGTACATGTACTTGTATACCTTGTTAGGTAAGACACATATGCAACAGTTAGGTATCTTTATTATGAAACGTTTCGCCTACACAGTAGGCTTCTTCAGTCAGTACAGAAAAGTTGATAGAAGCAGAAGATACTTGAAGACGATGTAATCAGTCCATCACCCTTAAAGTTTTGAGGTGGTCAGTCCCTCAGTCTGGAGAAGAGCATTGTTCCGTTGTCTGGAACAATATTGTTTCGAAATAAAGATACCTAACTGTTGCATATGTGTCTTACCTAACAACCTGTCGGTATTTTATACCATTTTGATGTTCATCTAGAATGGTTCACAGAACCGACATGTTGCTAAATTAGACACATGTGCAACTCTTGGTATCTTTATTGAGGAAACGTTTCGCCACACAGTGGCTTCATCAGTCCATACAAAGGAGAATCTTGAAGAATAGAGGAGAGAATGAGGTAATCAGTCCCTCAACCTTGAGTCGATGTGTTCAGTCCATCAATCTTGAATAGAATACAACATACGTGCTGAGAAGGAGCTTATAAACCGTTGGTAGGAGAGGTGCAGCAGTCATAGGTCGTGTAACATTTGTTCAGGTTAAGGGACTGATTACCTCACTCTCCACCTGTTCTTCAAGTTTCTCCTATGTAAGGACTGATGAAGCCACTGTGTGGCGAAACGTTTCGTCAATAAAGATACCCAAGAATTGCACATGTGTCTAATTTATCAACATGTCGGTTCTCTGAACCATTCATCTACAAACCTGTCAGACACTGCAACTTCTTGGGATCTTAATACTTGGGAATTCTTCACTTGCCTAACCCTTGGGCACGACCTTGGGCACGACCTTGGGCACGACCTACTTCCACATTGAACAAATGTGACACCACCTACGACTGCTGCACCTCTCCTGCCATACGGTTTATAAGCTGCTTCTCCGCTCATCTGCCGTATTCTATTCAAGATTGATGGACTGAACACATTGACTCAAGGTTGAGGGACTGATTACCTCATTCTCCTCCTGTTCTTCAAGATTATCCTTTGTGTGGACTGATGAAGCCACTGTGTGGCGAAACGTTTCCTCAATAAAGATACCCAAGAGTTGCACATGTGTCTAATTTATCAATGTTCATCTAATTACCAGTGTTTGTTGAACAGTTTCACTGGCTGGCCAAACATTTTATGTTTTATCTAAGTTTTATGTTTTATCTAAGTTTTATGTTTTATCTAAGTTTTATGTTTTATCTAAGTTTTATGTTTTATCTAAGTTTTATGTTTTATCTAAGTTTTATGTTTTATCTAAGTTTTATGTTTTATCTAATTTTTTTTAGAAAAGATGTTTAAAAATTAAAGCAGTTTCTATATTTGGGTGGCTTTAAAAAGATTGGGTGGCTTTAAAAAAGATTGGGGCTTTGAAAAGATTGGGTGGCTTTAAAAAGATTGGGTGGCTTTGAAAAGATTGGGTGGCTTTAAAAAGATTGGGTGACTTTAAAAAGATTGGGTGGCTTTAAAAAGATTGGGTGACTTTTAAAAAGATTGGGTGGCTTTAAAAAGATTGGGTGGCTTTAAAAAGATTGGGTGGCTTTGAAAAGATTGGGTGGCTTTAAAAAGATTGGGTGGCTTTAAAAAGATTGGGTGGCTTTAAAAAGATTGGGTGACTTTAAAAAGATTGGGTGGCTTTAAAAAGTTGGGTGGCTTTAAAAAGATTGGGTGGCTTTAAAAGATTGGGTGGCTTTAAAAAGATTGGGTGACTTTAAAAAAGATTGGGTGGCTTTAAAAAGATTGGGTGGCTTTAAAAAGATTGGGTGACTTTAAAAAGATTGGGTGGTTTTAAAAGATTGGGTGCTTTAAAAAGATTGGGTGACTTTAAAAAGATTGAGTGGCTTTAAAAAGATTGGGTGCTTTAAAAAGATTGGGTGACTTTAAAAAGATTGGGTGGCTTTAAAAAGATTGGGTGACTTTAAAAAGATTGGGTGGCTTTAAAAAGATTGGGTGACTTTAAAAAGATTGGGTGGCTTTAAAAAGATTGGGTGACTTTAAAAAGATCCACTCAAATCCAACCCCTCCCACTCTGATGTGCAAGTCCCACTCAAATCCAACCCTTCCCACTCTGATGTGCAAGTCCCACTAAATCCAACCCCTCCCACTCTGATGAGCAAGTCCCACTCAAATCCAACCCTTCCCACTTTGATGTGCAAGTCCCACTCAAATCCAACCCCTCCCACTTGATGTGCAAGTCCCACTCAAATCCAACCCCTCCCACTCTGATGTGCAAGTCCCACTCAAATCCAACCCCTCCCACTCATAAGAACTTTCTATTTTCACAGTGATAAGACTCAGTGTCTGGAACTGTGTTTTGCCACGTTCGATCCAGTGTGTGGCACCGATGGCAAGACCTACATCAATTCCTGCTACCTGGAAGCTGAGACTTGCAAGAACCCTCACCTAAATCTGCGTGTTGACTTTAATGGTCAATGTGGTAAGTTTAAAGTTTATGTAGTGTACGAATGGTATTATATACCGACAAGATGAGATTAAGACACATGTGCAACATCTGGGTTTCTTTAATGTAGACGTTTCGCCATCCAGTGGCTTTATCAGTACAGAATCTCCACGACTATGGTGCTGTTCGCACCTACTCCTAGGTTGAGGGATGATTACCTCATCTTCTGTACATAGTTCTACTGTCTTCAAGTTATGTCCTAGAATTTGTATTGATAAAGCCACTGGAGGGCGAAACGTCTACAATAAAGATACCCAGATGTTGCACATGTGTCTTAATCTCATCAAAGTTTATGTAACTTTACGTTTTAGTTTAAATGCTAAATAGAAGAACAGAGAGGACGAGGTGGGTGATAATATCTGATCTGAAAAATGCATAAAATTATTGGGAAAATGATTTAATAGTAATTAGTCTCTGTAGGAAATTGACGAAAAGCTTCAAAGAGTAAGAGAAATAAAAGGAGGGAAGTAGAGGTTTGGGGAAAAAATTCTGGAAGACTGAAAACGTTTAGAAAAATATTCAGACTGTCAAGGAAGGAGAGAGGAAACAGTAGAAAGTTTATTTGAACATTAAAATGGTATAAAATACCGACAGGTTGTTAGGTAAGACACATATGCAACAGTTAGGTATCTTTATTTCGAAACGTTTCGAAATAAAGATACCTAACTGTTGCATATGTGTCTTAGCTAACACAAAATACCCTCAGTGACGTGGCTTCAACGTTTAAGAAAAATTTCCACAGAACTCGACGATGGCGCTTTGGTGATGAATGGTTTGAAAACCGACAAGTTGAAGATTGAGACACTTATGCAGCATATGGGAATCTTTATTTCAGGAAACGTTTCGCCACACAGTGGCTTCATCAGTCCAATACAAAGAGGAAGGCGTAAGGAGAGGAGGAGTGTGAGGTAAATCAGTCCCTAGCCTGGAGTCGATGTGTTCAGTCCATCAATCAGTCCATCAAGATTGATGGACTGAACACATCGACTCCAGGCTGAGGGACTGATTACCTCACACTCCTCCTCTCCTTACGCCTTCCTCTTTGTATTGGACTGATGAAGCCACTGTGTGGCGAAACGTTTCCTGAATAAAGATTCCCATATCCTGCGTAAGTGTTTCAATCTTCAATGGCGCTTTGAAATTAAAATGTGTCAAATAGTGTGGAATTTGTATTTCTTGCAAATCTCGTTACATAAATTTCAGTCTAACTCTTCTGAACGCCTTCAGAATTTCATGACTGATGTATCTTACTGCCAGGTTGTACCCGTTTTCTTTCCTGGAATCGTTGGAATCCGTGTCATGAACCATACCCCGGCTGGGATTGAACCCGCGGTCATAGAGTCTCAAAACTCCAGCCCGTCGCGTTAGCCACTAGACCAGCTAGCCACAAAAAGATTCATCCAACTAGGTATATTTCTACACCATAGGAAGGTTAGCACAGGCCACCACTGTGACCACAAATGCAAGTTTTTACAGACGAATCTCCAGCTAGCGTGGCCGTGACGAACTCTAGCTCAAGTCCCTTCACTGCCGTCAACATGACTCAAGAAATCGTAATGACACGATTGAAAATAAACCATACCCCGGCCGGGATTGAACCCGCGGTCAGAGAGTCTCAAAACTCCAGCCCGTCGCGTTAGCCACTAGACCAGCTAGCCACAATAAGATTCATCCAACTAGGTATATTTCTACACCATAGGAAGGTTAGAACAGAAACCACTGTGGCTAGCTGGTCTAGTGGCTAACGCGACGGGCTGGAGTTTTGAGACTCTCTGACCGCGGGTTCAATCCCGGCCGGGGGTATGGTTTGTTTGCAATCGTGTCATTACGATTTCTTGAGTCGTGGTGAATGACTTACTTGATCAGCTTCAAGTTTTCATCACTCTTGTATCTTCAAGAACACTGTGTTTACGTTGGTATCCCGAAGCTCAATTGCTAGCGCGCTTAACTCGTACACTGTGGTCCGGGGGTCGATCCCCTTACGGCTGGAAAATATTAGGATGTGTGTATTCTTAAGACACTTGCCGTGCAATCTTCACCCATCAGTAGAATGGGTACTTGGGTGTTAGTGGACTGGTGTGGGTCGCATCCTGGGTGTTAGTGGACTGGTGTGGGTCGCATCCTGGGTGTGTCGCATCCTGGGTGTTAGTGGACTGGTGTGGGTCACATCCTGGGTATTAGTGGACTGGTGTGGGTCGCATCCTGGGACAAAACTGACCTAATTTGCGGGAAATGCTCAGCATAACAAGCGACTTTCTATATAGTAACATGTCACTGATGTCAGCTACGATCTGTATACCTTGTACATGTACTTGTATACCTTGTACATGTACTTGCATACCTTGTACATGTACTTGTATACCTTGTAAATGCACCTGTATACCTTGTACATGTACTTGTATACCTTGTACATGTACTGTTATACCTTGTACATGTACTTGTATACCTTGTACATGTACTGGTATACCTTGTACATGTACTGGTATACCTTGTACATGTACTTGTATACCTTGTACATGTACTGGTATACCTCGTACATGTACATGTATACCTTGTACATGTACTGGTACATGTACATGTACTTGTATACCTTGTACATGTACTTGTATACCTTGTACATGTACTTGTATACCTTGTACATAAAACGGGGTATACCTTGTACATGTACTTGTATACCTTGTACATGTACTTGTTACCTTGAACATTGTACTTGTATACTTTGTACATGTACTTGTATACCTTGTACATGTACTTGCATACCTTGTTCATGTATTTTGTATACCTTGTACATGTACTTGTATACCTTGTTCATGTACTGTATCCCTTGTACATGTACTTGTATACTTGTACATGTACTGGTATACCTTGTACATGTACTGGTATACCTTGTACATGACTTGTATACCTTGTACATGTATGGTATACCTTGTACATGTACGGGTTTATACTTTGTACATGTACTTGTATACCTTGTACATGTACTGGTATGCCTTGTACATGTACATATATACCTTGCACATGTACTTGTATACCTTATACATGTACTTGTAAACCATGTACATGCACTTGCATAACTTGTACATGTACTTGTATACCTTGTACATGTACTGGTATACATTGTACATGTACTGGTATACCTTGTACATGTACTGGTATACCTTGTACATGCACTTGTATACCTTGTACATGTACTTGTATACCTTGTACATGTACTTGTATACCTTGTACATGTACTTGTATACCTTGTACATGTACTTGTATACCTTGTACATGTAGGGTATATTTGTACATGTACTGGTATAACCTTGTACATGTATGGTATACCTTGAACAATGCACTTTTTATACCTTGTACATGTACTTGTATACCTTGTACATGTATTGTATACCTTGTACATGTACTTGTATACCTTGTAAATGTATTGGTATAACCTTGTACATGTACTGGTATACCTTGTAATGTACTTGTATAACCTTGTACATGTACTTGTATACCTTGACCATGTACTTGTATAATTTGTACATGTACTTGTATACCTTGTACATGTACTTGAATACCTTTTACATGTACTTGTATACCTTGTACATGTATTGGTATACCTTGTACATGTACTGGTATACCTTGTACATGTCTTGTTGCCTTGTACATGTACTTGTATACTTTGTACATGTACTGGTAAAACCTTGAAACACGTACTGGTAACCTTGTACATGTACTTGTATACCTTGTACATGTACTTGTATACCTTGTATATGTTTTGCATACCTAGTACATGTACTTGTTGCCTTGCACATGTACTGGTATACCTTGTACATGTACTTGTATACCTTGTACATGTACTTGTATCCCTTGTACATGTACTTGTATACCTTGTACATGTACTTGTATACTTGTACATGTACTGGTATACCTTTGTAAATGTACTTGTATACCTTGTACATGTACTTGTTATCCCTTGTACACGTACTTGTATACCTTGCACATGTACTGGTATACCTTGTACATGTACTTTGTATACCTTGTACATGTATTTGTATCCCTTTGTACATGTACTGGTATACCTCGTACATGTACTTGTATACCTTTAACATGTACTTGTATACCTTGTACATGTATTGGTATACCTTGCACATGTACTGGTATACCTGTAATAGTGCTGGTAACCTTGTACATGTACTTGTTACCTTTTTACATGTACTTGTATACCTTGTACTATACTTGTATACCTTGTAATGTACTGGTATACCTTGTACATGTTCGGGTTTATACCTTGTTCATGTACTTGTATAACTTTTACATATACTTGTATAACTTGTACATGTACTTGTATACCTTGTTCATGTACTTGTATACCTTGTACATGTACTTGTACACCTTGTACATGTACTTGTATACCTTGTACATGTGCTTGTATACCTTGTACATGTACTTGCATACCTTGTTCATGTACTTGTATACCTTGTACATGTACTTGTATACCTTGTACATGTACTTGTATACCTTGTACATGTACTTGTATACCTTGTACATGTACTTGTATACATTGTACATGTACTGGTATACCTTGTATATGTACTGGTATACCTTGTACATGTACTTGTATACCTTGTACATGTACTGGTATACCTTGTACATGTACTGGTATACCTTGTACATGTACTTGCATACCTTGTACATGTACTGGTATGCCTTGTACATGTACATATATACCTTGCACATGTACTTGTATACCTTATACATGTACTTGTATACCATGTACATGCACTTGTATACCTTGTACATGTACTGGTATACCTTGTACGTGTACTGGTATACCTTGTACATGTACTTGTATACCTTGTACATGTACTTGTATACCTTGTACATGTACTGGTATACATTGTACATGTACTGGTATACCTTGTACATGCACTTGTATACCTTGTACATGTACTTGTATACCTTGTACATGTACTTGTATACCTTGTACATGTACT